GTCCCCCCCACCCCCGCCCCCCGGGGACAGTGACGCTCCCACCCAAAACGACCCCACGTGAGCGGGCACTGACTCACCGCAGACTCTGCTCATTGCCAGGATCATGTCCTCGTACACTGAGGGAGAGAGCAGACGCACGGTCACTACACGCAATCCTCCCAGCGCGGCCTTCTCATGTGTCATTAGATCGACACGGGACATCGTCACGCGCGTTTGAAAAGTGACACACGAAGAGGCGCCACGTGTCCGTAAAGGCTGGTGTGGAGTAACTCCCCCACCCGCTCCCCTTCGTGAACAAGGAGCAGAACTCGCTCCCCCTGCACCCAGCCGGGGAGCGGATCGCCTCCTCCCAGATTCCCTCCTGGGGCCCCGTCAGACCTGGGGTGAGACCCGCTGTCTGAAGGGGACCACGGTGACATTTCAGAAACCCCCAGGCCTGCCACGCGTCATTCCAACCACGGCACCGCCCCACGCGCAGCGGAAGGACAAGCCTGTTGTCTCTCAGGACCGCTGCTAAGAGCAGTGCGTGCTACAGCCCAGGGCGCGGGCGAAGGGCCCAGCATGCCTCGCCCGTCGGTAAATGGATTTCTCCTCGGCGGGGCGGAGGGCTTGCTGTACCTTTGCCGGCTATCTCAAGGGTGGACACATCTTGACCTCTGTCATCCTTCAAGGTCGCCTTATACTCCCCGTGGTCCTTCTTGGACAACTACGAGCGAAGCACACCCCACATGGCGCCGAAATGAACGTCACCACAGAAAACGGACACCTGCCGCCCGCCCAGCGTGGCTCAGGGGTTGAGCGTCGACCGATGAACCGGGAGGTCACGGTTCGATGCCTGGTCAGGGCACAGGCCCGGGTTGCAGGCTCGATCCCCAGTGTGGGGGCGGGGTGGGGGAGGAAGAGGCAGCCGATCGATGATGCTCTCTCATCATTGCTACTTCTATCTCTCTCTCCCTCTCCTCTCCTCTCTGAAATCAATAAAAACATATTTTAAAAATAAAACAACATGGAGTCCCTGCTGACAGGTTTCCTTGGCAAACCACGGAGACCAGGCTGCTACCCGGGAGACAGGCAGGGCCCGCAGGCACCGGAGAGCCCGTTCTGCCGGCTCCCGGGGCCCGGAGATGGGGCAGCGCACCTTGGGGATGAGCAGCTCGCAGACGCCCCGCTCCAGGTCCGGCGGGCTCTCCGTCTCGTACAGGGCGTCGTCCTTCAGCCACCGGAACACCGTCTCCTTCTTGGTGTTCGCGACCTGGGAGACAGCCGGGTTCAGGGGTGACCCTCGGCTCACAGGCAAAGGCTCTGCTGGGGCAGCACAGGCCTCAACAGGAATCGCGCTCATCACACTCAGACGGAGGCGCGTGCGGGGGCTGCAGTCCGGCCCGCTGTGAGCGCGGGGCCAGCATCGGCCCGGGCCCCGGAAGGTCTGGGTTCGATTCCCAGGCAAGGGCATGTACCGGTCAGGGTGCGTGCAGGAGGCAACAGTGGCCATGTGCCTCTCTCACATGGACGCTTCTCTCTCTCTCTCCTCTCCCTTCCCTCCCTCCTTCCCTCCCTCCCCTCCCTCTAAAACTCAAGGGAAATACCCTGCAGTGAGGAATAACCACAACAATAAGGCCGTGGGTCTGAAGGTGGCAAATGCATCCCCCAGGCCCAGCTTCGAAAGCGTGAAGCCCTGGCCCTGGCCAGGCGGGCCCCTGCTCCAGCCCCGGGTGAGACGGCCTCTGGGCAGACACGATGTCGGCGACGCAGACGAGCCGCATGCAGCTAAATGGTTAACCGAGTGGAACCTTCTCCCAGGTCCGGGACCCTGGCTGGGCAGTGACATCCCGGACGCAGCGCCACAGATGGCAGGAGCTTCCCCGGTCGGCCCAGTGGATGGGGGCTCCTTCCCAGACGACACTGGCAGCCTCAGAACTAAAGCGTCCGCGGGACCCAGAGGCGTGCCGCCCGCCCGGCCTGACCCAGCCCAGCTCGCACCCTCCAGCTCCCTGCAGGCCCCTGGCGCCCACAGGTGAGGGCCACGCTCCCTCCAGCCCCGCCCACCTTGCAGACCAGGAGGACTTCACACTCCTCAGTGACGTCCCAGCGCAGGTACTCGGCAAAGTGGGGGCCTGGGGGGTAGCAAAGTGAAAAGGAATCATATTACATATTAACACATGTGTGTACACATGCATGTGTGTTTGTGCATGTATATGTGCACGTGTGTACTGTGTGAGTGTACATACATGCATTGCATTGTGTAAACACGTGTGGGTATATGTGTGCGTGTGTGCATGTGCATATGTGTGTGTTTTGTGTGTGTACGCATGTGTGGTGTGTGTTTATGTGTATATTGTTGTGTAAACATGTGTGGGGTGTGCGTATGTTTGTGTGCATGTGTAATGTGTATGTATGAGTGTGTGTGTACTTGTGTGCATTTCAGACAGAAGGAAGCAGCTGTTCAGTAGGAACTGGGAAAACCCGTTTCTGGGCTCGTAACCGACATGTGTGCACGGTCCGCTCACTCTCACGCCACCACCTGCCACCTCTGCCCTTCAGAAGGAGGTGGCATCCTCCTTCCTTCCCAGCGCAGGTCCTGCTGTGCCAGAGACCGGGCACGGACGCTTTAGAGTGGGGGGTGCACAGAGGTGAGGGGAGGACACGCAGCCCGGCCAGCAACACTGCACACACATGCTATTCTGAATCCAACGTGGATTTATCTGTATTTTAAAATACCGTGTTTATTTACAAGAAACTTAGAAGTAATTCATACCCTAATAGCAATGCCATCAGCCCATTCAACACAAACACGCAAGGCAGATGCAGAAAGCATGTATTGAACTCTTTCAATAAATATATCCTACACAGTGAAAAAGTTCATAATGTAGAAATGGGTAAAATAAAATATTTTTTACTATTAAAAATAAAAATAACTAAAAACAACAAACTTAAAAAAGCCTTGATGTTATATTTTATAATCCATATTCTAATGTTTTTCAAAAGGCATAGAAATGCCACATACAAATCCCATTAAAAAATTAAACCCTTGCGTTATTTTTCAGATTCTAAAATTTATCCATTTTACTTTGTAACTAGCGAGCGTGCATTTTTAAAAACAATACATTTAACATGTACTGTTTGCAGTTAAAACATTTAAAAGTTAAAACGTTCCTGATTTTATGTAAGTAAAAGAGCCAGTTCCTGGGAAAAGGGCAAAGGACAGAAAAGCACCCACGTGTCTGGAGCCGAGACGTGTGAGTCCTGGCCCTGAGACCGCACCGAGCCACGGGGCCTCGCGGCGTTGGCCGAACTAAACACTCAAACCCTAACCCTTGGTTTTCGTGCCGCTTGTGGGCGAGCGGCCGACACCTACCTTGTTTCCTGAGAAATTCTTTCCTCTGAAATTCAGCCTCGTCCAGGACAGCCTTGAACGCTACATTCACACGGAGGGAGAAGGTCATGAAATGCGTTTTCCTGCCAACAGAAGGGCTCTGAATTCTCCCGCGGGCGCGCTCGGCGGCCTACCGTCTCCGATGAGCACCAGAGAGGACTGGTTCTTGGCCTTCCCGTCGTGGATCTGCACCGTGTAGGTGCCCTCGTTCTCCACCGTGAACTGGTCCATCACCATCTCGATGATGCCCGTCGACTTGTCGCACTTGATTTTGTGCGTCTGGAAGCCACCGAGGAAACAGAACCCACAGTGAACCCGTCCCGCAGCTCCCGGCTCGGATCAGGACACACGAAAACACAAGGAAGTGGATCCACTAAACCCACTGGTGAACCAGACGTCAAACAACGGACACAGATGTGCGTTCGGGGGAAACCCTGTCCTGTGTGTATTAGCGGGGGCGGGGGAGGAGAGGGCAGCCAGCAGATATGCACCCCCGGACACGCACCAAACCTGAGACCACTGAATGCGTGGGGTAGAGAACACAGACACACATGCAGCCACAACATAGCCACCCTCACAACAACGTCCTCCTCCCCCAGGATCCTGAGCCACTCACATACACACACATACACACACATACACTCACACATATATACACACATATACGCATACACATACACACTCACATCTACACGTGCACATACATGCACATACTACATGTACCCGCACATATACACAGAGAAGCATGCACGCACACACAAATTCACACTCATGTACACACATACATACACACACATACACACACATACACTCACACATATACACACACATATACATACACACTCACATATACACATGCATACACATGCACATACTACATGTGCCCGCACATACACACAGAGAAGCATGCACGCACAAATTCACACTCGTGTACACACATGTGCATGAGCACACACAGGCACACGCTCACATACACACATGCTCACACATACACATGTGCATGCACACTCACATACACTCACACTTATACACACACGCTCACATACACAGGCACATATACACACACACATAGGCACACATGCACACTCACACACGCACTCACACACGCACTCACCGGGCTGTCGGAGACCTCCCGGTCGTTGATCACGAACCGGAAGCTGGCGTCAGGGGACAGCTGCTCGGCCTGCAGCCAGAAGCGCACCTGGCCGTGCTCGAACACCTCGTAGGCCAGCTCAGACTTGAGCGGGACGGCTGTGGGGAGGAGGCCGTCAGCGCCCTGTGCGGGGAGCGCTCGCAGGAAGGTCCTGCTCTGAGCCTCCCAGCAGTGAGCCCCCCAGGGAAGGGGGCTGTGCACCCAGAAACAAAGGTCCAGCTCCAGGCGGCCCCGCTCGGACCCTGCGTGAGGGCGGCCTTCTCGGCACCCCCTGACCCCCAGGGTGCACTCTGTGTCCCATGGGATTCAGCCACAGAGACTCCCCTCAGCCCGGCAGCCACCCTGAACCCCAAATTCAAAGCTCTCGCAATGCCATGAACATTTCTACCAGCGACAGTCAGAGCTGCATTGGTTGTGAGTGAGCAGGTGGCCAGCCTGCGGGCTGAGAGGAAGGGGGCCCTGACCACACAAAGCCGGAC